AAGGGCAGAGCACATTTTTTTAAATTTTGGTTGAAATTTTTCTATTTTTGATGAATATTGTTGAAACTATTTAGGAAAAAAACAAAACCCCAAAAGCAGCAATGTTTTGGTCTGATGGGACACCCCCCCACACACACACACTTTTTTTCTCAGTGTTTTACTTTCTCCCTGTTGGGGAAAAAAATAACTAAACCATTTCATGGAAAATTTCGACCCTCTTCCGCCCCCGATGAAAAATATTTCTTTTTCCTCAATGTTTGGTGTAACACATTTCCGTGTTCCTGGCCATTAAACCCAACAGCGACTAGCCACGAGGTAGTGGGCAGGACAGGCCCTGCCCCAAGAACCAGGGCTTCTGCTTGGGCTGTGCAGGTCAGAACACTTTTGACAGTTCTGCATGCTCCCTCTCCCCACCCATTCAGGACTCAAAGGAACTGGGCTTGTGACACCCAAGGGAAAGGGGAAAGCGTTCAGCGATGAGCCCTTGACATGAAGTTACAGCTCTGCCAGACCTGGCCTCTCTTTTGCTAGGGCCACAGCTCTGAATAGTGCCGGAGCACTGGCTGTGGGGGAGCGCCCAACTACTCCTGTCCCAGCAGGGGGTGCTGTGGAGAATGGAGCAGGCGTGCTGGTGACACAGTTCCCAGTTACTCTGGTCTGTGTGGAGCTGAGGGCTAAGCCAGCCCCTTAGCTGGGGGGCGGGAGAGGGGGCGCTCTGCTGCTCTGAGCCCAGTCCCTCCCAGGAGGCGAGAAGGCGCTGGTGTAGCGGTGCTGGCTCCAGGAGAGCGTGTGGCTAGTGCTGCAGGAGAGCCAGGTGCAGGAAGCTCTGGCGTTCGCTCCAGGCTTTGAAAAGCAAACAGAAGCGACTCCATCCAGCCCCAAGAGCAGCTTCATGTCTTGCCCCTCCAATCCCTCTAATCCACTCCCCTTGGGCGCCCTGTAATCTGCTTATTTCTCTCTATTTCTCCTGCGCCTGAACTAACCCGATCGCAACAAATGCGGCACTTAGTGTGCAGCCTGATCTCTGGGACAGACAGACCTGCCGGGGGCTGGGGGCTGGTCACATGCCATAATCCACTGGCTGCTGGGACGAGGAGACCCTGCAGGGCCCTGTGGCCTCACAGGGATTTACAGGATGCCCTCGGCCCATTGTACTGGCTGGGCAAGAGGGCAGGGCCCCAGGGGCATCACTTACAGCCCTGCATTGTTGCATGGATGCCCTGGGGTGGAGGTTGCTTAGCACTATCTGGGCTGCAGACACTGGAGCTGGACAGTCTCTGTATGCTCCCTGGCTGGCAGTGGGCAGAGCTGGCAGGAGGGGACA